AGGAGATGAGGAGGAAGCTTGCAGATTTATAACTTTTTCTTTTGCAGGTTTTCTATGTGAGTCGTATGTTTTTTTGTTGTTGAAAATTTGTTACCTTCTCTTTTCACCATTATTTTCTTTATATATTTTTCCTTTTACAGGTTCTCGATGGTCTATTTTATGCTCATTTTGCAAGTTTTCTATGGAAATATGGTCCAATGGTAAAATTTCCCTTCCACCTAATTTTATATGTTTATAATCTTAGCTTTTTTTCTCTCTTTGTCATTTTGATTTATTTACAGGGATGATGGAGGAGACTTCAGTTGTGCATCATTTGTCTGTTTGGATGAGGAAGGCTTGGATTAGGAGTACGTAGGTCTTGTTAGGAAAAGATTGTACTACTTAATTACCATATGTATCAATTGAATATTTATATTTAATTGGTATGAATTATGTTTGTTGTAGAATAAAGATTGGTTAACTATGTAATAACTATTGAATCTTCAAGTTTTATGAAAGAAACTATTTTTGAGTGTATATATTCATTAATAAAGCATTATGTAGCAAGTTGGGAACTTATTAGACGACGGTTTTTATAATAAATCATGGTCTTTACAGATAATTAACGACGGTTTTTATAAAAAGGGTCGTCTATTATATGTAAAGATGACGGTTTTTAAAAAAAGGGTCGTCTATTATATGTAAAGATGACGGTTTATTTTTAAAAAGGGTCGTCTATTGTGAAGTAAATATGACGGTTTTAAAAAAAGGGTCGTCTATTATATGTAAAGATGACGGTTTTCATAAAAAATCGTCATCTTAACCTACAATACACGACGGTTTTTAATAAAACCGTCGTCTTTCCTCCTATAATTAACGATCTTTACCTCTAAACAACGACGATTTTCTTTAAAAACCGTCGTCTTTACAGATAAACAACGACGGTAAAAAGCCGTTGTAGTTTGACACCCAAAAAGATGGTGGTCGATTTAACGACGGTTTTCAAAGTATTACAACGACGGTGGATCCCCGTCGTCTATTTCGTTTTTTGTAGTAGTGAGATCTCAGTTCAGAGATCTTTATATCTTTATTAATCATTGTTACAGTCGAAGTTCATTGAGTCCTAGATAATTAAGGAGTACCAGTATCTTCAACAACACGTACTGTATTAATCCTGAATGCAAATACAATCCTAGGGTTGTGATCAAGGATTAAAATATCGGCCGTGCAGATAATATCGGGCCTCCAATTTACGGATATTTCGGGGGATATATCGTTATCGTTTTAGGTATCGGGAAAAAATCAACAAAAATGATAGATATAGGCATTGAAACACATAATTTTGGTGTAAACTTTCATAGATGTTATTTACATTATCAATGAATGTATTGAACAAATAAAACTCAAAATTTACTAATAATAAGATATACATATGATGAAATATAAGTGGTATGTAATGCGCGTTAATGAAAAGTTTGAAAATAAAATGTTGATTATAATGAATAAACCATGCATAAATCCATAGTTTGTTTAAACATTGGATTACAATTTAAATAAGTGTACATCTACATAAATGAAGAGCTCCTATGAGGTTGAAACAATGAGGAACAACTTTGTAAGCCATGTTCGAACATGGTGCACATACGTCTCTCTTGAGCTCCCTAATGTCCTCCCATATATGGGATAGTTATGATTAACCAAACTAGTAGACCCATAATCTGTTTCATCATCTTGAGCTCCATAACTAGTTCCACTATAATCAGACATGACATAATCATAGCCATCATATGATTCATTTGAGTTAGTACTAGGTCTAGTTCCTATGCTCATAGATCCAAAACTGATTGCCACGTCCTCTTCAGATGGATTGGAGGTATGTGGGCAGTGGACTGTGCATAGATTATTCATATTAATAAATTATAGGGTTCTGAGCAAGGATTAGCTATTTTTGGGTTCTAATTTGCTTCAATTGCCTTCAAAAATTCTGAATTGTTTTTGGATTCTGTTATGGGTATCGGGAAATATCAGGGATATCGGCAAAATATTGGGGATATCGCACTCACTACTAGAAATATGGCCACTACACACTGATTTTCTAGATACAATTTCATAAAAGTGTCTTGTGAATTTTGTTTGGAAACTAATTCCAAAACCATGCCTAGTAAAGATATTTGGGATAGTCAATGGTGTGTAATACAAAACATTGATTTTCATGATTTTCCTTTAATATTTGATCCTTTTTATTAGTACCAACTTGTCATTATCAGTCCCAATTTATCAAAGGAAGCTGCAGCTCATTTGACTCAACTCACAAATCACACAAAGAGACGTGGCTGGCTCCCTATACAAACTGGCTTGGGCTCCCCTTCACTCAGTTTTGGCATTTGTCCTTAAATTGGATACTGATTGTAAATGCTAGTTTCTTCCATTTAATGATATATTGAATGGTTTGAATGACAAACAGTAGCAAAAGTAATATTTAATTATTGGCATTGGTGAACTGATTGTTTATATAAATATTGTATAACTGAATAAATATTACAAAATCAAGTTTGGTGTAGTGGTTTGTGAGTGTGCCTTCCTCCTTTGTGGGACAAGGTTCAAGTCCATTCAATGACACAAATTTTTTTTTTTTTAAAGGTGAATAAAGAGTAATGGAGTTGGTCCCCGGAAAAAGGTGGCAGGCCAGCGACAGGTAGCCGGCAGCAGGATTCCGATGGGGTTCCGGCGGCGGGGTTCCTGTGGCGTCTGGCGGCGGTGGCCGGGGCGCGAGATTCCGGTGGTGGTGTGGTGATTGGCTAGATATTTTGTAAATTTGAAATAAAATATTGAAATTTGAAAATAATGGCATAATGGCATATGTTGTAATTTTAAAGTTCTTTAATTATATTTTGGTAAAAGCAGGTACTATATTTTGACTTTTGGCTTTATCCTAATTAGCTGAAATTGAATTCCTATTTACCTAAATAGTAAACTATATTGTGTGTGAAAACTAAAGCTCCCTTGTTTTTAAAACTTTCTATGAAACACAAATTTCTACTTTCAATGTTAACTTTGGCATGATGAACTTAGATTTGAATATATTAAGGGCCCGTCTGGTAATGTTTTCGGAGAGTGTTTTCTGAGAATATTTTCAGAGAATGAAAACAAGAAAACGAATTTGCATTTTCAGGAAATGAAAATGCATCTGGTAGATTAATTAGAAAACATCTTCAGAAAACAAAAACAATGAAAACGTGTCTGATAGTATAATTTGAAATAATAATATGTGAGTTATTTTTATGAAAATGTTTTCCACGAGAATGAAAATAACTTTTTTTTGTTTTCTACAAGTACACATGAACTTGTTTTCATTTTATGAAAACATTCTCAGTGTTTTCTGTTTTTGGGCCACCGAACGTTTTTTTGCCTCATTTTTGTTCTCTGAAAATGAAAACAACCTCTTAAAACGTTACCGAACCGGCCCTAAATTCCTGCGTCTTTGCACTGGTTTTGAATACCCAACGTCCAATGATAATTTATTTTATTGAAATCTGCACTATGCATAGGGCAGTGTAATATCTGAAAATACAGAATCTCTATATCTTCACTTAACCCAAAGCTGAGTTCTTGAGGGGGTTGGCTTTGCATTTTTCCTCTCCACTGAGTGAGGCCTAATACAGATCTGAGTTCAGAGACCTTTATATC